AAAAAAAAAAAAAGAAATACACATTCAGCATTTTGCATTGATTTCATACCTGTGACCCCTCGTAGTAGACTTTGGTCATCTTCATGCTTTTTCTGCCAGATACTATGATAGAAACTCTGCCTTGTTTTGTTTTTAACAGATATAATAAGCTTTAGAGAAACTCCGTAGGCTTCTCCCTGTGCATGTTAGATTCAATTCTCCTCACAGAGCTTTGATGTGGCGCTTTAGCATAAATTGTTAAAATGGTTTCTTGATGTCTGTTTGTAGGATGCTGAAGAAGATCCGGAAAGGACACACCAGATGGTGTTACTGAGAAAGCTTTGTCTGCCCATGTTGTGTTTCCTGCTTCATACAATTCTGCACAGTACTGGTCAGTATCAGGAATGCCTGCAGTTAGCAGATATGGTGTCCTCTGAGCGCCACAAACTGTACCTGGTAAGTTCCAGAGCATCAGAGTTTTCAATTTTAATGATTTGATACTCTCTCTAATAATGTTTAATTTTGTGAAGATATGTTTACAGTTTTAGTTGTTCTTGGATATTCTTATACTCTAGTTATAGTATTTGTATGTTTTTCCCAAATGTGTAGATATTTGTAAGCTGTTAGAATACATAGAGTGATTCTGAGAAATAGCCTTTGAAGTTTCTGAACCAGCTGAATTTACTAGCTTTAGGGTGCATAAATGGGTTTTTTAATTTGTTTGAGATGGGGTCTTGTATGTTGCCCCAGCAGGTCTTGAATTCCTTGACTCAAACAGTCTTCCTCCTTCAGCCTCCCAGTTTACTAGGACAGAAGGACTCGGATAAGTATGAAAAGTAATTTCTTCTGTCAAGCTAAGCAGATCAGTTAGGTGACTGTTAAGTTCATACTCTTCTTTGTTCTTAATTTTTTTTTCCTTTTAAAACAGGTATTTTCTAAGGAAGAACTAAGGAAATTGCTGCAGAAGTTAAGAGAATCCTCTCTCATGCTTCTAGACCAGGGACTTGACCCATTGGGATATGAAATTCAGTCGTAGTTCATCTACTTTTTACAAAATCTCAGTAATTTCTGTGATAAGTGGAGCTTTTTTGTAAAATTTACACATTTGTTATCACTGCATATTTTTCTTTTCATTGTCCTGGGGGAAAATGTAAAATTTCAGAACACTTTCAAAATTTAATGTATTATATCAGTATTTCCTATGTGTGTTTATTAATAAAATTATATAAAAATTAAGATGTTTTATTTTTACAAATTCTAAGATTGTCTCTTTGTCACATAATGAGAAAACTAAATTTTTTAATTTTTCATAATCATTAAAACAAGCTACGTTTTCTAATTTTTCATAATTATAATTATGATTTCTAATACTTCAAAATTATGAAGAGGATGGAAAGTAGATTCCATTTCAACCCAGGAACATATTTTTCCTTTATCATAAGATGTAGTGGCTTGGCGCCTATAGCTCAACCGGCTAAGGCGCCAGCCACGTACACCTAAGGTGGCAGGTTCGAATCCCCAGCCCAGACCCGCCAAACAA